CACCGGAATGTATTAGGTTGGAAGAAGGTTACTTTTTTTCCCCCAAGGCTTTCTTTTTTAATTTGCCCATGTGTATGTTCAGTTTCTTCGGTATTGTATGAGAGAATTCACACACAAATGATCTAAGTGTGATCTTATCTGGCTAATTATGTGGCAGTGAAGGTTTTGACAGTTTGTTGTGAAAGGTATGTTGTAATTACTGTGCATTTGTTAGCGTTGGATGCAGACAGACAGGCAGGCAGACAAACAAAAATAAACGTCTTGTAATTATCCAAAAAAAACCCCAGAGGCAAAGGAGGAAATGCACTGTGACAAAGAAAGGGGGCGGAGCTGCTTTTCTGTTAGTCACTGCAGTGAAGTGTGATAACCTGGGTAACAACAAGCTTTGTGCTTCTCACCTCATCTAATCATGAACCATCCATCCATCTATCCATCCATCCATCCATCAACCCACCCAACCATCCTTCCATCCATCCATCAACCCACCCAACCATCCGTCCATCCATCCAGCCATACATATTTATATCCAATAAGTAAAGGATATAAAGTTACAAATCAGTGTAGTCACCACAAAAAGGATCATTTGATACTCGCTAGCTTTCGTATGCAGTCCCTGCAGTTGCTCTGTCCCCCTCTGTCCCCCTCTGTCCCCCTTTGACAAGAGTAAAAGGTGGTGAGCTGCCTGTGCTCTAACCCCTTTCCATATCAACATAAAGGGTAAAAATGTACAAAAAGTGCTGACTGGGTGTGTATGTTTACACAGCGCCCCCCTCGCTTGTTTGATCACGTTACAGCTATAGATCTCGCCTTACTCTATTCCTTTATGCAGATGACCCAGTATTTACATCACTTGTCAGTGAGTAAACCTGCGTCTGTGTTTGACTGTTCCTCGAGGGCCATTTGTTTCCTGTGTGTTGAAATAAGACCCTGTCACCTGTGGTACTTTTGACTACACTCTACTGCTGAGTGGTTTTTGAGTTTTTCTGCTCTGTTTGTGACTTTGGGCTGAAGTCCGAGTGACTTAGCGCTTCAGAAATGGCTTTGTTTCTTGCATAGCAACTTATATACTTCAGTTAGTATTTCATTTATTGTACCTGAATAGATTTTTTTGGAGCATTATCCAAAAGTAGGCCATAATAACTCCAGTAAACGCCATTTCATTGGCTGACGTCATCTAAACTTGTACGTTCATATATCGAGGTTCCGCGTTGATATGAATGTCAACTCATTTTATGCTTATTGGATGATCCTACTGATGACTGCCAACACGACTTCTGTTCATTAGCCCTCTAATTGCTCTAGGAAATGGACAAAAGCGGTAAATGTGTCTCTAAAACTACCTATAGTAGAGGTTGCTGCCTTCATGCTCAATATTAAACAAGTCCTATTGAGAGGATTACAAATATATAACGCTGAATAACTGCACATAAAAGTGGCAATTGGGTTGATGGAACAGCCTATGGAGGAATTCAGAATAGAATGAATAACTCTGATAAGAGACGGCTCGCACAATAGGAACACATTCAAAAAGAAATAAAGCTGAATGAATGTCCTTCCATTAAAAACTGCTGGACTATTTCAGCCATTTTCCCCCCAGGCCTCTGTATCTATATCAGGACCCTGAAGCAATGCATTTAAATGAAGGTACACTTAGAGAAAAGCTCCACGTCTCTGAGATAAAATGACTTGCCACACTTTTCAGCGGAGCTAAAACACATTGCATCGATATAACTGAGAGAGGTGTGTGGTAAATGTCTGTGCCAGGTTTGTAGAGGGCAGGATGGAAGAAAAAAACCCACAATGTTAGAGATAATAAAGGGAAGAGAAAAAGAAAGAGAGATGGTAGAAGCCTGTACTTCCTCTCCGCCCAGTCTTTAATGTTCACCCAGAAGCCCTGCAGTGCCGGCTTTGTCCCAGAGACTTACAGAGGCGATCTGCCATGAGAGAGCAAGTGAGAGGCTTTAGAGACATATGTCACTTCCCCGAGTTTCCCTGTCGCTTCTTTAGCCGGCTGAGTGGAGGGGTGGGCAGGGAGGCGTGTCTGTGCACCTAAACGTGAGGTTGTGGAGGAAGGACATGACAGAGTGATGGCTCTGAAAGAGTTGTTGGAATGATTTCTGAACCTTTTCTTTGACTTTTCTTGTGCAGCTGCCTCAAAACTCTGCTAGAGATGGAACTGACATGAAGGAAGTTGTAAGTATTGGCTAAAATAAAGAGGTTACTCTTCTACATTAAGGATTGGTTTCTGGACCTGGTGTTTGTTGATTTAAGTTTAAGTCACAGGAATGCAGTTTAGAAACTACATGCGGTGTGTGTTGGCAAAGATTAGGCGTGCAGTAGTCACACTCTCTCCGTGCCGTGGCAAATGTAATCTCTACATATCTGTGGCTGTAATCTGCCATGTGTTCAGGGAACTGAGCTGAGCCTACCAAAACAAATGCTTTGTTGGCTGTTTATGTAGTGACTGCACCTGAGTTTGTGCTGAGTTTTGTTGCGCTGGCTTTGTTTGACCTTCCATTAAAGCGTGTGTGTGAATATTCCAAAAACTGCCAAAACACTGAGCTGTGCACCAGGCACTGGATTACCGGCTGGTGAAGGAATGTTGCATGTCTTGAAGTTGGGTTTTCTTCAAAGACCTAGTTTACTAAGGTTACATTGTTTACATTTTAACTCTAGATTTCAATCTTAATATTCTGAGTTGTTGTTTAAAGTCTTTAATGCACGTCTTGCATTGGTCTCAGGTCTTGCAGCAGGCCCAAACTGATCTGACTTTTTTAGTCTTTTTTCAGTAGTGTGTTGTAGTACTACTACTGGCCAACAGGCCACTATAGTGATTAGCTAAATCAACTATTCAAGGTCCATCTGAAAGCCACCATCATAAGATACTGTTGTAAAAACAGTATTTGTACATTTTTACTTTAAATAAAGAAGTTTTCCACGAGGGTTTTAAACCCCTACTGGACCTGCAGAGGTACTGCAGGGGCTTTTAAATTTAAGTATGTCACTACATGAGTATTGTAGGAACAGCGTTGTTCATACATTAGAGTGGCACTGATAGCATCCTTTTTGTTTACTATAAGATTATAATTTAACTTGAATGACTGATGATTCTCATGTTGATGGAAAACGTTGACGTAGCTTTGGTATCAGTACCAAGACACGTCAGTAACCTGGCCATCCTTTTAACTGTACCTTGCACATTTGCAATACTCAGGGGTCCCTGCTCCCCCTCTCTATAAGTGTGGGGGTCCCTCTACTGTTTTATTGTATTTAAGAGCAAAGGATGTAAAAACTACAATGTGGTGGTTGCCTGATTTTCATTTCCTTTTACTGACAAAAATGGTAAAAATCACAGCTTTGTGATGCATTGTTTTGCTCAGTTGTTCAAACTCGGGGTCTTCTCAGTTCAGCCAAGCTGAGAGTCGAGATGTCAGTTCTGGGATATAACAGTATTAACAGTTGTAATGTTCTGTGATATGCATTTCACACATCAGGGTTTTCAAAACAATCTTGTCATAAGCCAACCCTGCCAAGCCTCTAGGCCAAGGGGTGGGGTGGGAAAAATGGTTGGCCCACGGAGCTTTAAAATGTGACTGGCAGTTCAGTTCAGTATTGGTTGGATGGAAAATGATTGATGAAATAATGTAAAAAAAAAAAGTTCAAGAATAAACCTAGACTTTGGTCTAGACTTTTAGTGGCATCAACAGAAATTACAGGTTACACGCTGGATTATAAAGCCCAGCAGACACAAGGGTTTATTTCCTTATGTCCAGTTTATTGTTAATATAAAACCTGTCCTGCTACTGGGCCCAGGGTTAATCAAATTGAAATCAAACTAAAATTATTTCTAAAATTAAAACATTAAAGATAATAAAATAACATAAAAATTACATTTTAAAATATTTTTTCACTCTAGTATTTAATGACATTTAATTACAAAATCTCCTAAGAATATTGGGTTTGCAGATGAGGTCATACATTTCTCTGTGTTGTGTGAGTATCTGCAAAAGTGTGTTCCACACGGAAGTCAACAGTTTACAGCTCCACAGAAAGCTGTCATGGAAATCTAAGGTAGCACATTTATTCAGTGGACTACTGTTCATGCATGTTGAATATGCAGTAATACCTGTGTATTCTCCTGGTTTGTGGAACCAGTTCTACTGTAATCTAAAATGTACTCTGTGATATTCACTCTGTTGTTCTTTGCCACTCTGGTATTTTAAGCACAGAGTCAGACTGCAGGACTTCACTGCTTCCACTCTCCCTGATAGCACGATAAGCTGGAAGGTGAACCTGTTTGGCACTGCCTGTGCTGCTTCAATCTTCACTGCCCCGTGAGAACTAAGCCGTGAAATACAGTCGGACTTGGACCAATTTATCGTCGGCCTGCATAGATCTGGAGATTGTATAGCAGACACAGCCTCAGCATGTGTACCGGCGCCAAGTTTGTAGAAGGCATGCGGTAGAAACCATACCATCACCTGACAGTTGTTAGATCCCAGGTACTGAGGTACCAGCTCTCTCACATAGTACAGGTGACCCGTATCTGGTCGGCCCCTCCGTTTAAGGCAGTACTTCTCAAATAGTGGGGCAGGGGTGAGGGGTGAGGGGCTTCTAATGGAATATGGCACGCTGGACATAGGTGTACCACTGCTGTAATGCTTGACTGATAACAAGCCTCCAGTCACTAGGTGGCAGCAACTCATACAGTGGTTTGTACAGATTAAATATTGTGTTCTCAATAGCATTTCATGTAGTTCAGGGGTGTTTGTTGGGTAAGGGGTGAGTGAAAACATTTCTGTCCCCAAAGGGGTGCAGGACAGATAATTAAGAACCACTGGTTTAAGGGGTTAGGAGCCGTAGCTCTCTGGTAGGTACTGTCCACCTCTCACAGTGGTCCTCAATGGTTTCTATAGGTCTGCTTAGGCCCATGGCTGTTTACCAGGTAATTTTCTAACCCTGCTGTTTTTATCTCTTCCTGGTCCTCTGTGTCTCACCAGTTTCAAGTAACACCAGCTGATCACCGCACTTTACTGACCACTGCTGTCACTAACTAGTGCAAGGGGGATGAGGCTGACGGGGACCCTGCAGCTGGCTCTGCTCCTGGCCCTGACCTACAGAGCAGTGGGCCTCAGTATCCCTCTGGAAGGTAGTAACTCACAATGAATCACCTATTAATCATAACATTTTCAGAAATTTTGCACTTTAAGTTTTGACACTAGGATTGTTTACGTCTTTTGTGTCCTTTAGGGTAAAACATAAAATGCCGTATAGCGCGTAATAAAAGAGCACTTTTCCTGTAGGATTTAAGTCTGTTATGTGAACACAGTTCTCTGGAGGAATTAGCCTGACTGTAACAGTTAGTTTGTAAAATGACCTTCGTCCTCATCCTCAGCCTTCTTCCATGCCTGAATATAAATGTTGATAGCTTAAGTTTCAACAATAACAATCCCTCGCTTAAAGTAAATTGTTTGAGCTTCAGCCGTTCAGGTTTCTTTGTTTAGAGTTTGAAGTATTTGCTTTGTACTCCTGGTCTGCTGTTTAAGCTCTCTGTCTGTTCAAGAACCCCTTAATTGTCTATGGTGTTCTACATTATTGGCACACAACATACTGTATATATATATAAATCAGGGGCGGAATAGAGACTAAGAACAACAAATATGTTCAACCTCATAACAAGTGTTTTTTGTGTGGTGTTTCTTTCTTGACCTTATAGTGGAGCAGCCTCCGACCATAATAAATCACACATCAGGTCCCATCATCGCACTTCCATTTGACAATTTTATCACAATCAGGTGTGAAGCAAAGGGCAACCCACCCCCTGAGTAAGTGGCATCAACACAGAGCCATATTGTAGAGATTGAAAAAAAAAAATCAATGTCACAAAAATGAAATGTTACAAAAAGCATCTTTGTCCAAATACTGATCACATTCTCGTGGCTGTGACAGATACAGATGGACCAAAGACGGCAAAGACTTTGAGCCCCCCCACATGACCACCAGTGATTCTGATCGCACCGATGGAAAGATGGTGCTCAGCTATAAAAACCTGATCCACTTCCAGGGTAAATACAGATGCTACGCCTCTAACAAATTAGGAACTGCAATGACAGAGGAGATCCAACTGATAGTTGCCGGTAAGTATCATTGACCACATGCAAAAATGCTCAGGTCCTGTTGTGTTTCCAGTGGATTTAATTTTTTTTTTTTTTGAATAGCTAATCCCAAGTTTCCAAAGGAAGAGATCGACCCATTAATCGTTCAGGAAGGAGAACCCATCGTCTTGCACTGCACTCCTCCAGAGGGCGTGCCACCACGACAGATCTACTGGATGACTATTGGTAAAAGAAGAACTCACTGTTGTTGTAGAGAGGACTTATCTATCTTTGAGAACGGCCTCTTCTCAAAGACATCCAGGGTGATGAACGGAGTTTACACAAAGTGTTAGATTAAACTCTGACACACAACTCTTTCCACTCCGCTACAAACCTGTAGGGCAAAATATATAAGGCTGACAGGTTAAGAAAATTACAAAACCTGAAGATTGAAGGATTAGTGTCAGAAGAAGAAGTGTCATTTTTAATCTCAGAAACACTGACCCACTCAGGTGGATGTTGGTGAGATCCTTGTCAGTACAGCTGTAGTACAGTGGCCACACAATAAATGTACTTTTATATGTACTGCATATATAAACACGATTATTTGGCCCACAAGGAATTTGTGTCAAACTAAGGTGGACTCACACCGGTGTCTGTCTTTCCTAGTGTGTGGTAAAATTATTGTGATCTGACTGGATGTGTCATGTTACGACAATGCACAGTGTAGATAATAGGAACTATGAGGACAGCAGTAATTAGGAATACCCTCAGGAATAGAGATCCACACACACACACACACACACACGTAAACCTGTCTGAATATTAAAGAAGATTATTTCCCCCTTCGTTCCAAAGGCTTCTTCAGTTCACAGACTCCTGTTCTTGTTCCTCTCAAGATTTTCAAAAAGTGTTTTTTTTTTTATGATGCCAAAAAATATTAAAATAAAATTAACTTTCATTTCAATCTATCCATGATGTCATTACAGAATTATCCTCCCATGCTTAACTTAGAACGACCTGGTGTGTACTGTGTTGAAGCTCCATCCTAAATTACACAGAAGAGAATGAAACCGATCCAGTGAACACACTGGCTCCATACCATACAAAGGTTTCTACAGGGCAGCGTGGTGGGCTGTGACCCAGACGTTGGTTGTGAGACTAAACAATACCTTTAATTCAACTAGTGTCCAGTTTACAGCGAGGCACCGTTGGTGGTGAATCTTTTACTGCCTCTACAAAAACAGTACTTTACTGGATGGCATCGGCCAAAGAGTTAGTCAGGAAGAAGAATTTAGAAAAGAGGTGGGCAAACTTTGTGGCTCAAAATGAGGTTCACAAATTGACTGGTGGGTGGTTGAGTATCGCTTGGATGTAGAATGTTGAGCAATATAATATGAACAAAGTACACGATTACACCTAAAACTTTAAATTAAATGTGACACATTTGATGTCTGCTGCCATCTAACGGCATCCACTGAAATTACAGTCAATTTTCTGTAACGTAGGACATAGAAGGGCTGACTTTGGCAGCCATATTAGAAAGCCCAGCGGGCTGTATGTGGCCCACGGGCCATAGTTTGCAGATGTCTGATTCAGAGCTTTTCCATTTAGTATTACTCAGGTTAAAATGACCTAACATTTTAGGCCATAAAGCACAGCTGCAGCATGAAGCACACCAAAACAAAAAACAAAAATAAATAAATTGCAGCATGAAGCACACCAAAACAAAAACAAAAAAAATAATTCGGTCACACCTAAAAGACCGTGCTGAAGTGCGGTTCACAGGGATTGATCGTTTGAGACCCACTGCTTTGGGGCATTAGGGCATCCTTTAATGTGTTGTGTGTGAGGCTACTTGATGTAGTGGTTATGATCACACACCTGAGTCATGATGACATCACTCAGATATTTGATTTGGTTGACTTTTGACTTTTGATACAGCCAAATAGATATATTTGTGAGTAAATCAGTCTTGGTAAGGTTTTATTGTTGATATCTTTTCTTCCAGGTCTCCAGCACATTGAGCAAGATGAGAGGGTTTCCATGGACGTCAACGGCAACCTGTACTTCTCCTATGCCTTGAGGAAAGACAGCCGCCCTGATTACTGCTGCTTTGTCGCCTTCTCCAGAATACGCACCATTGCCCAGAAAACTGCCATGGCTGTTATTGTCCAGAGCTGTAGGTGTAGTATGACACACGTGCTACGTGTCCAGAGCAGGGCCAGCTGTAGCAGGTGTTACTTCAGGTTAATTTATTAGTATATTTAAAGAATCCCTTCACTGCATACCGAGTACTAAAGGCTAGTTCTGTCATGTTCAGTCCGAGGAAGTCTGTACTGAAAGATGAGAGGAAGGAGCGCCAACGCTACCAGTGTTTTTCTAACGTTGTTTGGTTTTCTTTTTTCTTTTCAGTGAACTCTGACAATGAGACTGCAGACAGCAGTGATGCCAGTGAGTGATCAAACCAGAATCAACATTTCGCAATATAATTCAATACACGGTCGCACAAAGTGGACACACAACTTTGTAAAACTGCTTGTTAAAAAGCACCTGTAAACTAAATTTAATAATGGATTAGATTAATTCATTATTTATATATAAATATTTTAACAATTAAATAAAATGAATAGACTCCTCTCTGTGGCGCAGTTGAAGATCACCCAGTGAGAAAACCCGGCCTGCTGCTGCCCTCTGGCGTTCAGTCAGAGAAAGTGCTGTTGAAGGGAGCGGACCTGCAGCTTGAGTGTATACCTCAGGGCTTGTGCGTACAAATCTCCTACTCTCTAATCTCTCGTAGTAAAATGTCCTCGTTTCTTCAGCTCATTACACGTTTCTGTTGTGTCACACCGCAGTCCCAATCCAACAGTTACGTGGAGGAAACTGGGAGAAGAGCTGTCTCCAAGGAAGAAGTTCAACAACTTTGGAAAGCTGTTAACCATCCCTGCTGTGCAGGAGAGCGACCAGGGGAAATATATGTGCACGGCCAAAAACCCTGCAGGAGAGGCCGTGCACTACTTTGATGTAATAGTGGAAGGTAAATCCACATCAGGGCCTAATGATATACCGTATGCACGTCTCTCTGAAGCATTTGTCTGTGCTTCCGAGGGGAAAGCTGCTGACACAGGGAGGGCAGTTGTTTTGTCCAAGTCAACATAGCTCTCCTTAATGTCTCCCAGAGCCGCCGAAGTGGCTGACAGAGCCTCCTCAGAGCCAGCTCGCTGTGATTGGGTCTGATGTTCACGTCAAGTGCTCAGTGAGTGGAAAACCACCGCCAGACATAACATGGAGGAGGAATGGAGAACGTATCCAAGGTGACCACCGTAGGAATATTTATGTTTATGTGTCGGCCATGTTAGCAGCAGTAAGAGCAGAGTATGCTAAAAACAAAAATTAAAACACTCAACACAATTGATAATAATAATAATATATAACTTTGTGTGTGTTTTGATTTTGGTGCTTTCTCGACACACCACAGTCAGGCAGCCATCCTCTGATGCCAAGCCAGGCTACAGATTACTCAGCCTATAAAAAACATGGAATTTTAACAAATAACGTTTTTCAAAGCTGAACCTTTTTTTCCCTCAAAGATCTTGTTAACATCAAACAACAGTTAAAACCCAAGTCAACTTATTCTACAGTTAAAGTTATCGATTGTACTCATTGCAGTAATTGGTTCCAGTGTCAGTGTTGTTTTTTTTTTGTTCTAAATCCCTCTGTGTTTGGGTCAGATGACCCAGGCAGTAACAGGCGAGTGCTGGACGACACCATGATTCTTCACCGGGCCACAGCGGAGGACAGTGGTGTTTATCAGTGTGAAGCCTCCAACAGTCACGGCAGTGTTATGGCCAATGTTAACATCATGATAATGAGTGAGTATCTCAGCTAAGACACTCTGAACAAGGACGCGGTCACTGGTCGATTAAACAGCCAGCCACTTTTTTTTTGACAGTGAATCCAGGCACTGGGCTTGTTTTTCTTAGAATGGTTGGTACTGATTGTCCTGCTGGAAGCCTGTGCCTCAGTGCTTCATTAAATGGTAACCAGAACAGATGGAGACTGACCCTCATCGGTCTTAACGTAATAGGGGCTTCATTGGCTTCATTTGAATTGCCTGTAAGCATGAATGAAGTAATGAAGGCTTTTCCTTAAGCTCAAGTCTGACCAGAATCTGCTGTTTATTATAGAAATAAGATAATAATTAGTTAATTGTATTATTATTCTGTCCTTTTACAAAACCTAGAAGAAAACTAGGTTTTTAGAATGTCAGTTTAAACAGCATTTCTGGTTAAATTGTTTTTTCTTTCATAGTCTGAGAAACTACTCAGAATCATTCAAAAATACAAAGGAACACTATTCTCCCAGAGCCTGGGCCTATTAACAGCACTTTTCTTGAAACAGTAATAAATTGTTGAGTTCTGCACGGTACTTTTAGGATTTTGCCTGTGTCATTATTGGCCAAAATTATATTAAGATATTCAAATTTTTTGGTTAACCCTCATAAATGGTGTAAATTGGTTCTTTTCTGTATTTCTCACTAAGTTTTGCTACAAGAGGAGTTCAACAATTAGTGTTTTCTGATAAGTCATAACTGAATATAATAAAAAAATATTAGTAAGAGTGAAATATGGACAATTTAAAGAAAATAAAGAATTGCGTTATTGGTGTGACAGCGTAAATGTTTATAAAAATATGTAAAAGAAAAGGCTCAGTTACACATATATTTAAACTTTCCCTCTGATTTGGGTTTGGAAACAGGGCTTAGGGCTGTGTTTTTCAACCTTGGGGTCGTGACCCCATGTGGGGTCATTTGGATTTCAAATGTGGTTGCTAAAAATATTTAGGAAATTATTAAAACAAAACATTAATGAATAAATTAATGATAAAAATATTTTTTCAAGTAATTTTTAGTTTTTAAAATAATGATTAAGAACTCCCCACAAAATTATAATCAACTCTTTTACTTTCACTGTATTTGCGCCTCACTACAACAAACGTGATCGAAAACTAATTCTAGATAAAAGACAAAAATGTCTCTGGAGTCGCCAGATATTTGTGATGTCAAAATGGAGTCAAAGAAGGTTAAAAACACGAGTTTCTTGCATCACATTTTCCTGCAGCCTTTTGGGTTCATCACTGCCACCTGCTGGGTCTATTTTCCAAACATTTTCAGCTCAGCTTCAAATCTACCTGTATATCACCACTAACCCACAGATACAGCGCCTCAGATCCTGACAAGAGACTTCCAAACCTACCCTGTGATACTGGAGGGTAACGTGACCATGAACTGCAGCGTGTTTAGTTCCCCGCCCCCCACCATCTCTTGGTGAGTAACTTCCACATAAATCCACGATTCATCTGTGTGATGTCTTGATTTGCTCTGAGGGTTTTGTTTCCTTCAGATTTGAATCTGTGTTACCCAGAAAAGCATCGGTGCGTGAATGTTGTCTAAACATCTGTGTTCCTGTCTGCGTCGGTGCCAAAAGTGTGAATCGGCTCACGTTCACTATAACAACACTGAGTCACGTTATCTCTTCCACTCAGCCTGTGGGTGTTTGAGTGCAGTAATCTGATGGTGCTGCAGCACCAGTGTCTGGATGAAGCCATAATCCTCACCAAATTAGTCTAATTAAAACTTTCTGACGGGGGAGTTTGGCCTCGACTGTAGTTGCGAGGAGAAGTAATTGGATCTCAGACAGACACTAGCAGAGGCACTTGACCTTTGACCTTCCGCAGAACACTGAGGGTACTAGAGCAGAACATTTAACCCTTTAACCCAATTTTCTCTTTCAATCCAGTGAATCCCAAACTTTTTTGGTCAGTTTCCAAGCCCCACTTGGTTCTACTGAACTAACACCAACACTCAAATAACACCAAGTTCAAAAAGAGAAAATAAACGTGCAGTTGTGACGTCAACTTTGTCACCGCCCTCCCGTCTTGTCTCTGTCCCCTACCAGTGGGCCCTGCCCCACACTTTAAGAAACACTGCTTTAATCTAACAAAAACCCTAATCCTGTAGGCTGCGCTACAGTGAAATAACTACAGTAAAAGTGAACCACACTAAAAGCAGGAATAATGTTGTGGAATATGAAGAGTAACTGTGTGGAAGTGAGTGAAAACAGGAATTTAACGGACACAAGCAGCTTGTTAAGATAAAAGTGAACGCTCTCTCCGGTGAAACTTCAGGCTAAAGTTCTAATAAATATGACCCTGTCTGCATATGCACTGTTAGTTATGCTGTGTGCATACTCTCCCAGGGCCAGAGATGATTCTGCAGAAACTGTCAAGGAAGAACGATTTTTTCCTCTCCAGAATGGATCTTTGCAAATCAGCGGAGCAGAAAAAGGCGACAGTGGGGAATATGTGTGCACTGCCTTTAATACAGAGGGGGAGTCATCCGTCACCGCTGTGCTGGAGGTGAAAGGTATCTCAGCAGAAATGATACAAAATCATACTCTTCTCTTTGAGCAAGTCATTGCACAGAATCATTCATTACAGGGCCAGTTCACCCAAATAATAGAGTGTGTGAGAAGAAAGCAGCTTTTCTCCACAAAGGTAAACTGACCAAATCCAATCAATAAAAGTGTGGTGGTGTTGCAGGTCAGACGTTCAATAAAAGGATTTAGCTCAAAGCCCCAACCTCAAAATCCACTGTGGTTATGTGGTTACAGCTGAAACCTGCAGGTTGAAGATACAGCCGGCTGAAGGCCTTTTCTCCTTATTACAGTTCACCACGCTGTGCTGCGGTTATTCTGTCAGTTTTATTTTCTACTTGTACTGACAGTTCATTAAATATATTTCCATCATGACTCGAATGAGTACATCTGAAGTTGTTATCGACCCCACACTTAGTCACTCATTAGCACACTGCACTACACCTATGATTTTATAGTTTGTATGATTCATTCACGATAAATGAATCCTTTTCTAATGTCGTGTTTTCATGCCACCTTTAGACCCTACAAAAATAGTGAGTCCACCTGAGGACATGCAGGTCGTCAGTGGAACCACAGCACAGTTGATGTGCCGGGCAGACTACGACAGGAGTCTGCAGAGTACTTTTGAGGTGGTATGGACAAAGAACGGAGAAGAAATACCGCTCCCTACTGAGGAACATTCCAGGTGGGTTAGATTTACTCCACACACTGCTTTGACTTAAGGTTGTTTTTTGTTTATATAAAATTAAAAAATCATCATCATCATCATTATCATCATCACAGTCCCACCCTGGAGAAACGAGGGGCCGTTCACAGTGGTACAGCTGTATAATTTCTACTTCACAGATACTTCGTGGAGGATGGAACGCTGCAGATCATGAGTGTGAACCTCACTGATGAGGGAACCTATTCGTGCACTGCCAGAACCAGTCTGGACGAGGACAGTGCCACTGCATATGTTACTGTACTAGGTACCAGTACACAGTCATTACATTAATGACACATTTCTCAGCTCTTTACTTCATTTCTAACTAAATATTTCTGTCTGATTTTCTGTGCTGTAGATGTTCCTGATGCTCCGAAGAATTTGCAGGTTTCCGAAGCCACAAATCCCAGGAACGTGGTCCTGACGTGGGTACCTGGGATCGACCACAACAGCTCAGTAACAGGTAGAGTTTGAGGCATTAACCCCGAGTCTTCACTCTCCTCTTCTTATTAATTAACAGCTGTTTATAATAATCTGCACTGTTGTGAGCAGCAGTTGTCACAGTTTACAACCCCCCTAATGGTGTAATTATTGGCTAATTATAATGCAATTATAAAGTAATTTAATTATGATACAGTTTTAACTGAAGAAGAACATGAATGTCATTAGCTGCAGAAAGTGTTCCTGTCGTACTGTAGCCAGTTTAAGGCCCTCTCCTGCTGAGAGAGGAGATGAGGGTGAAGTGAAATTATTTTTTTGAGCCTCTGAGAGTTAGTGACTGTTTTAGAATGTAGAACCTTTTGACTTCAAATGTGTATCTCTCATAAACATTTAAGAGGTAACACATAAAAAAAACTCAAATACAAAAATGATGATATCCAGAGGGTCCTTGACTTATGTTGGGGTTCTATTTCTATGGCGCGATGTAACTCAAAATTCGCTGTAAGTCGGAACTCAAATTCTGTACATAAGAGTCAATGTCACTCACTCAAAATAATATTATTTTAAAAGCAGTCACTAATGTAAAAATAAGTTGCTAGTACCAGCTTTTTTCAAACCTTATTCAGAGGAAAATGTCTTTAAAAATCTTTTTTAATTAACACGATCTACTAACCAACACTTAAAAATATGGATATTGTAAAAAAAGAAAACTAAAACACACACGGCTGCACTCAGGAGCAGGAAATGAGCACAGTCGCTCCCCATTAACAATAACAGCGTCATCTTGGCCCAGTACCAGGTGAACATGTGCATAAATATTCATTACATTCAATTATTTCACTTTGGATTCTGTGTCAAAAGCTACGAGTGTGCGTCCTAAATCACTCCCTGTTTTATTCACTTCTCTACATGATAAACAGTTGATTCCTTTCTCCACAGTGAGAAGTTAATTAAAATGTGGGCCATTTATGAAGACTCATTATTTAATACACACTCAGAGCTATAATTTTACTTCAGTGTTTTTCACTTTTTATTGCTTTCTACATTGTGGCACTTTATGAGTAGTTGCATTACTTTTTACATTCTCATTGTTCAGGTCATTTCCCTAAGGTTGATTTCCAACTGGAGACATGTTTGTTATATTTGTTTTAAGTGTCCTCATTAGTTTAAGATTAAATGTAGAATAAAACGCAAACTAAATTGAAACACGAAGAACAATTAAAATATGTGTAGGTTTTTAAGAAAATTAGCCAAAAGAAGCCACTAAAATATGGCTAAAAGTTATAATAATTATAAGGGAAAACCATATTAAATACAAGTGTTTGCTTCAAGGTTGTACTGAGGTAGATAAATATGGATTCAAAAATTGATTAAACTGCCCTAAAAATATCTAGAATTTTTAACTGGAAACATATTTCACAGGAGCAAAGAAGATAAAAGATCCACCACCGATGATAGGTCATTAAAAATTAATTTTCAGAAATACAGCCCGGCCCATATCTTAGTGCTGCTAATGGTCCTCAGGCCAGAGTCTTTGTTACTGTTTTAGCAGAAACTCAGGGCTAAAATATGTTTACATTCTCTCTATGATTGTGACATTTTGATAACTAAACATGCTATTGTCTAAATATGTTCCCTCTCTTCTCTTGTGTGAGTGCAGAATTCGTGGTGGAGTACGAGGAGAGTCAGTGGGACCCTGGCAGGTGGAAAAAGCTGCAGAAAGTTGCTGGTAACCAGGCAACAGTGGAGTTGGCTCTACAAGGACACATTAACTATCAGTTCAGAGTTTATGCTCTTAATGCTGTTGGGCCTGGGCCCCCCAGTGAGCCCACTGAGAGATACAAAACACCCCCTGCTGGTAGGGCCCGCTCCCTTCTATTACCATTTCCACTGAGGTTATGTGTTGGATGTGAAGTCATGCAGCTTTGTCACATTGGTAAACCTGACTAACGCTGACTTCATCTGGTGTTCCACAGCTCCTGATAGAAACCCAGAGAACATCAAAATCCAAGGTGTTCTTCCTCACCAAATGGACATCACCTGGGAGGTAGATGATGGAGGACTTTAAAGCACACATTACATTATGAAAAACTCTTTAGTGAATACTAAACCCACAGAGTATTCTCCTGTTTTAGCCGCTGATGCCTATAGAACACAACGGTCCAGGCCTGGAGTACAGGGTGAGCTACAGGAGACTGGGTGTGGACGATCAGTGGAAGGAACACATGGTTAAAAGACACAGCTTTGTTGTGAAGAACACAACCACATTTGTGCCCTACGAGGTCAAAGTTCAGAGCAGGAACAGCCTGGGCTGGGGCCCTGAACCTAAAGTTGTTACGGGTTACTCCGGAGAGGATGGTGAGTTGGAGACCAAAGTACTCAGCCATGTATTTCTCTAGTATATATATATATGTTAGTAAAGCATATACAAATATTAGAGCTGTCAAAGAATTGACATGTTTTGGATCTGATTAATCACAGAATAGCTGTGGATCAAACATGATTAATCATGATTAATTGAGATTTATTAACTTTCAAAATCTAAGTAATCTTCACAATCAATTAATGTGATAATGTGTTACTTCTTGTAAGAAATGTCCATAAAACCGTGTTATACAGTTGTTTGATATTTTTTGTATTTATCACGTTTTTAGTTTTTATCTGGCATTGTCCACTGGAAAACGTGTCAGGTTAGGTTTTTTTCTGTGCTTTCTTTCTGTGAATGGTTATTACCTGTGCTGGTGACCCCCCCCCCCTTTTTAGAGTTAGCAGATGGCTTATACAGAAGACAGGCCATGTCTAATTTTCACCTGCCTCAAACGTTGTCAGAGAGGTGACAGATCGCAGTTAGCACTGTTGGCCTCCTGAGATGCGACACACATTCTTTTCCCATACATGTACTGTAGTTCCTGTGGTCACTATGTACTGGAGTAGAGTTTCCCAACCCATTCTGAACCTTGGCGCATTTTACATAAAGAAAATCCCACAGTACTCTTTTTTAGTTTTTATAGCTATGTCTGTTTTAATTTATTTGTTTTTAATGACTCTGCCTGCCACTGTCAAATTAAAGGACTCAGACAAATGTCAAGGTGTAAATATGTCATCGATTTCAACACAGTACAAATAGAATCATCTCCTGACGGCACCACAGCACAGTGGCTGGGGATCACTGCTATAGTACTACAGTACCAGTTAAGTCAGCAGTGATTCCCGTGTTAAAAAGGGTTAGGTCACGTGCAGAGGAGACCATGAGAAACTATTTGCTAACAGGCCACAGGTCAAACCAGGATTTGAACCTGTCACTCTCTGTCTGGAGGGTGACCTTGTTAACTGCTTTTACTGCGTTAAGTATTTTTAGCCAGTGAGCACATTATTTGTTCCTCTTCCAAAACAAATACTGCCTTTAAGACTATTTTGATGTTGGGGTTCCATGAATCACCCTTTTGTAGTAGAGTTAGAGACCCCGCTTTTGACCTTTGCCCTTTTGTATTTTAGTCCCTACATCAGCACCAAAGAACGTAGCAGTGGAGGTGGTGAACAGCACCATCCTAAGAGTCAGCTGGACCCCAGTTCCAGCTGCTACAGTCAGAGGTCATCTCGGCGGCTACATAGTAAGTATTACCCTTCAGATAATTGGCTGGCATTTGTTTATATAGTATATTAACCCGTCTTTATTCCCATTTGCACATTATGCTGATTCCTTGCCTCACTAGCTCTCAGTCACCTGTTTTTATTGTGTCATAAGTAAAGACAGACTCCAAGGACCAGTCGTCTTTTTACTGCATTATTATTTTATGTTCCATTTCAAACAAGTCGTTTATGTGCAAATGGAGTTTTTATGAAGTGAGACAAACGTTGATGATGTGATTTCCGCAACAGCAAATGATCCTGAATTCTAAGAGATACATATTTAAGAGCAGTGCTAAAAATAACGGTGTAAAATATTAAAGGTTGTATAGGTAACTGTACTGTGATCACAGACTGTATACATCACAGACGTCTGTCACCTCAGGGCAGCTGCTGGCTAGAACTGCTGAAACTCTTTTGGATGTGAGGACTATATTCAGTGACTTAATATCAATGTTCACCATTTCTCTTGATAAGTCACAGCCTAAGTGACTTCTTCAGTTTTGTTTCTTGAACTCCTGTCCCAGTAATCCCAGTCATGTCTATATTGTGACCTACACTCTATATGTATGGGATCGTGATTTATAAAAAACACCAATTCAGAGTCAAAAACAATTCAGTTGGACAATTACGTTTTCAGGAAAATGTTGGATCTCATGGTAATAGCATAAATCATAAACGATAAGTGCAACCTTCCTGCTTCTTCACTTCTGTGATGTCAGCTGTGAATATGATGCTCTTTTACACTTTGATGTCACTTTATGACAGGATGTACTAATTAAACAAAAATAACAGAAGTGAGACAACACCTACAATACTGATGCATCATCATGTTCACAGTATATAAGCCATAATTGACTTCTTCATTACAAGTGAATAGATCCAATACACTCTTATTTATTATAGTTATTTCTGCAGTAAATACTCCCCCTATATTTTTGTCCTTTTCTGAGTTCTTTAACCAGACTGGTGCTAAAACTTTTCATCCCCTTAACAGGTGCACTGGTCACGTCGGCGGAGTCTGCTTGATCCCAACAGGATCCTAGACATCCACCAGTCTCTGTCCTTCCCAGGGAACAGGAGTAACACCGAAGTGCCAGGAGTCAAACCTTTCTCAGAGTACACACTCACGGTCAACGTTTACAACAAGAAGGGCAACGGGCCCAGCAGCGATCCAGTTACTTTCAACACCACGGAGGGAGGTGAGGCGAACCGAGCGCAATATTACACACCTGCGCAAACAAATGTTTTAAATGCGTCTGACATTGGACATATAGTTCCTTGATTGGCCTGCAAGTGGTGCTAAGTTTGCACTGCAAAGCCCTCTGTTGTGAAAGTACAGAGAGATGTTAGTATTCTTGCTGATTAATACAGCACGGTACACAACAATTATAGTTATAATAGTTATAATTTTATGGATTATTTACAAGGTCTTGTATATAAAAGCATTAAATGTTATGTTAAATAGACATTTGAATGGTCTCACGTATTCAATATTTATATTGTTTAAAGAAACATTGTAACAACAAGGTTCGGTTTGCCATTATTGATATCAAAAAGTTCACAGAAAAACTCCTTTTTTGTAGTATCACTTTGTAGAAACATACTTTTTAGTGTTATTCTGAACTGACAGATGTTCTAACGTAGTCTTGTTAGAGAAACACATCTGCACAGCTGACAGTTCTTAACAACATTTCATTTTTTCATTTTCCCTCAGTTCCTGGACTAGTGCCTGTCCTCACTGCCTCCAATGCTCAGAGGGACTCCATTCTGCTGGTGTGGGGACCACCGCTGGAGACAAACGGCGTCCTGACTGGTTATCTACTGCAGTTCCACCTCCGTAAGTACACACCATGTTTACTCACTGTCCCAGTAAATAAAGACCTGCAGGACACCAACCCAGTCACTTTATCTATGTCTGGTGTACCAAACACTAGGTGGCAGTGTTTAACACTGAACAACACACCCCAGTCTGTAAAAGCCGCTGTATGTTGTGCTGATAACATTGAACTGTGGTTTAAAAGTTCCCAAAAGTGTTTTTATCTTAGAATCCCTTGAACTGCAGGGTTTTTCTTTAACAGTATCTACTTTATGGTGCAAATTCAGAGGACTGTCAGAAAACACCTTCTTATAAAAACAAAATAGACCCAAAACTACTATGTAAAGCAGTGGTGCAGTGGAGTCATTTAGGAACAAGGTGATAGCATTTTGCCCCAGCTGAATTTGTGTGGTTTTTTTAGTTTAGTAATACAGTGTTGTCAAGTTATTTTATATTATATACTGATTGCAATCAATAAATCAAATGTTACTTTAGTATTAACCAGCAATGACTAAATCTTGACAAATACATATGCTGTAATGGTAAAAAACAAACAAAAAAAAAAAACCAATATGATATACTGTAAAACAAGCAAATTATTTCAACATAACACAGCAGTACAAAAACGAAAAATGTGCAATTCAAATTTTGAAATTTAAACAACAATGCTAAAAAAGCTGACAGAAATGTTGTAGTGAATATTTTTAAGGGAAAGTAAGGACAATAGGTCAAAAGTTCAAAGTAAACAGTGATTTAAAACCCACACAAACACTCTTCACAAATGCATTTCTAGCCTACATCTGTACTTTTGTAATGCACTTGTGAACTTGTGCTGAACTCGTATTCATCTCTCAACTCTCAGACACCTGTTTCCTCAAATATAGGTAATAACCCTCACGTCTAAAAATAGCCCTGTAATCTCTGAGGCTGCTGTGACTGACAGACGAATGATTCTGGACTCCACAGGTTCCAAGCCTTTGAACCGTGGACGGGACTAATGGACAAGCAATTTATGCCAGTCTAACCAGTCTAACAGGCCTATATTTCTACTACTGCCATTTTCTTTCAAGTTAATAAATGACCATTACTTTCCAGTCTAGTCTCGTGCATTAACCCTTCCACCTTCAACCCAGCTACACTTTTCACATTTCTCTTTGCGAATACTCTGAATGTGTCCTCATTTCTGAGCCTTTGTCCTGGTTATTTTTTTGTGATGCAACTGTCCTCCTTTCTCGAGTCACGTCAGTCGTCACCCCTTCAGTACAGCTGGATGGGTAAGGGTGGATGAGTAAGTGGTCTTTCATCCCATTTCCCCTGTTTTCCAAGCCTATACTAGCTGACATTTCAGAAATCTTTTGTCAGTCAGCCCGCCGCTGTCTCCATCAACACCCCCACAGTCTGCGCCACTCTCGCTTTCTCTGCTCTGCTCCTTCACACGTAGTACTCTAATGAACACGCCGCCGTTTTCCCTTTAACATATTAGAATGGTTGGCAATTTGGTCATATGTAAATTGAAATGAATAAAATATGAAATTGTAAGATGCATGCGGTTCAGATTTTTCATTGACTTCTTACACAGCAAGTTCCATGATATATTTAGATTCATAAACATATGAAGCATACAGCGTTCTGTGCTGAGAAAAACCCAGACTTAGCATATTAGGTCTAACAGACCAGAATATTATTCACCATACCTTCTTTTGAACATGAGGCCTGACACCAGCGTAGTTGTCTGCACACATATGGTTGTTTGATCTATTATACATGTTTGGTGATATGTTATTCTGCCTACGATTGCTACTATTTCCACCCCCCCTCCCGTCTCCAACTTTTATTTTCTTCTTACTGCAACCCTCCTGCTGCTTCTGCACTTCTTCATATAACATTCCTCTTAATGCTTCGATTGAGCTTCTATTAATAAATAGCTCCTGTTCTGTTGAACAGGAGAGTGAGACTGTTCTATAACATAGATGGAGTATGACGTCTGTACTGTATGAAAACTCTTAAGGTGATAAGTGAACATCCACCAGATAAAAGAACTATATACCCTCATTACAAATATGTAATAATGGCCTTCTTCGTGTACAGGCCAGGAGGTGCTTAATGAGCGGGCACAGATGGTAGCCAGCCCCGACTCTGCCACCGCCAAGCACCATGGCCAGCAAGGAATTGCAGTGAAATTCCCAGGAAGATTAACCACCGATAAACCAGCTGGGTTGGTGATACTGTTGGCCAACTAAAAATAGTTTGAATGTTTTGTGGAGGTCTTCACTTCCAACCATGAGGGGCAAAAATGTTATAAAAGCTGAGCCTAGCAAAGCTGAGCTGAGCAAAGCAAGACAGAAGAGTTTCTTATTGTCGTACAGCAACAGAAACCTCCAGTTTTTGTGATTCAACTCTTTTTAAATTGTTTTACATAATCTGGAGCCCCATCCCCAGAGATATAACAGACATCTATGTTTCATAAATCCAGAGTCTGACTTATCCATGAACAATAACATGGGGACTTCCCCAGGACAGGTTATAAATGAGCTCATAATATCTGGCTACAGAAACAGTCCCTTTCTTATGGAACAAAGTAAAGTATTTAAGCACTTCACAGATTCACTGAAGTTCACATCATCAAGTACAACAAAAAAATATTCAATATTCAGTCTCCACCAAGGGTAAGCTAGTCCTGTCTCCTAATACCCTTCTGCATTACTTATTCATTTTCTTTGGATTAACCAGAAGCTCATTATCTACTTGGTCTGTTTTCACTAGTTAAAAAAAAAGAAAATACAGACAAAGGGTGGAGTCATTACAGCTAAACACAGCGTCTTTAATTTTTAGTGACTCACGCTAAGAAAATACTCTGACATGATTATTTGACGTAGTTCAATTGTATTCTTTGTAATGTGTTAAACCTGCCTCCTCCTCACCCTCCCCAACATCCACAAATCCTATTTGTATTTTGTTATCTGATGTAGCATAATTTACCTATAAAATATGTGTGAATGTCAGTTCTACTCTTCAGCCATGAAAAGGAAACCAAACTATTTTGCCAACATTTGTGGGATCTACAGTATTGTAGTGGAAAAGAAAAAGAATGATTTTTTCAGCCGCTCATGTCTTCAGGGGTTGCCACAGAGTGTAATCTGTACAATTGACTCGCTGGATACTCTTCTTGATTCAACTCTGCTAATTTATCAGGACTGCAATGTGGCTTAGTCACACAGCTTGACTCGATCCCTGACCTTTGGGGTGGAAGACAAACCGTGTTACTCAGTATTAGCCTGGCTGTAAATATTTTTGTAACCCTTAATAATTCAGACGTAGAGAAATGGAAGAATAGGGCTGACATTTGAAAATAGTGAAATTATTTTATAAGCCTCCTCCTTCTCCTCCTCCTCCACTCCCTTTCATCCACAGCCACTTGTTTATGCCCCCCTCCTTTCTCTGGAGCTTTCTATCTGCTCCTTTCATCTTCTTTGGCTTTTCTTCATAATGTATTCCTCCTCCGCTCACCTGTCAGGACATGTATCTGCTACGTTTACGCTCTGCCTGAGTCTGTGTGACATCTCCTCATCTCCTTTGTCTTTTTCTCCCTCTCCTTTCTCCTGCCTTTGTCGTATGTGGAGTGTCATTGAAGTTGCATGACATTAACCTATTACAGGACACAAAAACGTTGATGACTTTTTCCACACCTACCCACTGTTGGCTCACTACTACCATGTCAGACTGACCTGACTTCTCTCTGCTTCCCTTCATCTATAGTTAATGAGACCTCACGTGAAATGGCCGACTCCCAGGAGGTGAACATCACCGGGCCTGACACCACTCAGTGGCAGCTGCAGGGCTTAGAGCAGGGCAGCCTCTACAGCTTCCGCCTCAGCGCCTGCACACGAGCAGGTTGTGGACTTCCGCTGGCCCAGGAGAGCAGCACAGTCACTGCAGGACGTGAGTAGACAGAATCAGTTTCTACCTGCAGTGGGAAGGGGTTGCTAATCCGATTTCCAATGGTATTAATTTGAAAGCCCCTCGAGTGCCGGCTGCATAATGTGCCACAGATATGGTAGTTGCGGTTTAATAATTCATACAAAGTAGAGATATCTATGCTAATGATTTATTGTCCTGAAACCATTGTTTATCATCAAAGAGAGAGCCGATCAATCACCAGAAACATTTTGTCACATTCCCCCCGATGATATCATTAAAGTAATCGTGCCCTGGAAAAATATTTTTCTACTCATTCTTCAATTAATGAGAAGCAGAATTTCCCAGTTTTAGCAATTTGACCTTTTTTGTCAAGTAAAATTCAATAATGTTGAGTATATATTGAGTATAATATTAAAAGGGGAGGGTGCGAAAGCAAAGATTCAGACTGCAAAGTTGAGAACTAAAGTTAAAAAACTGTGGGTGTTTTTAAAGTTTGAATGATTCAGTCGATTCTGTTCCACCGATTCAGTTCATTTGTCGAGTTAAGGACGAGGAGTTTTCAGAGTTTGACTTAAACTGTACAAAAGTCAGAATGTTTTATTATCAGCTCTCAATTTTTCATGAGCGAAAGTGTTTCAATCACTGTTATCACACGCTGCCTCGCAGTTAGAAGAGACGGTAGAAAAGAAAAATGCTGTTTTTGCTGTAATATTAAAGAAACCACTTAAGGATATAATTAACTTAAAGCAGGTGACAGATGGTGGAAGCTGTAACTTTGAAGTGTTTAGAGAGTTAACACTTAGATATAAGAAGTACTTTGTTAACTAAAAAAAACTTTCTAAAAGAAAGGCTAAAGAAACATGTAATGTTATTTGTCAGATTTTCGGTTCTGTGTTTGACTGTTTCCATTTAAATACCCTCCAGTTTACATTCATGATATCAGTGCTGTGTGGTGAGGTTCATGGCTGCTGAGGCACTGACTCCTCTGGAGTCAGACTTACAATTGTAAGAACCGAAAAGATCATGCACCTGGTAATGCTTCATATCCATCAGCATTACACGACACCAACACAAACATACACACAAAATATTTGTCCTACAAACAACGTTTCTTTTATACAAATGGACAGAGCACCTTCTTGTGTCTAAGAAATTTATATTTACTGTAAACAAAGTATAGAGATGAGTGCAGCACAAATTAAATTTTGACTTTTAATTATTTTATTTAAATACTGGTGCTTTAACCAAAGGCTGTCTATCAATATGTAAAATACTTTTTTCTACTTACTCTCATGCGATTTAAAAAACAAACAAACAAAACTTTTTAGCCTTACCTTTACTTACAGATGAAGTCCATGCGCCGATGCTTCTCCACGAAAAGCTCTCTGACTTGGTTGTAAAAGTCTTCATTTTTTTATTTCCTTATTATTATTATTATTTATTAATTGTTTCCTTATTTTTAAACATTAGCGCTGTGGACACTAATGTTTAGTCTCCGTTTTTAATCCAATGCCAAATCGATCCATGAATTTCCAAAAGTTTTTAAAGAAATCGAACTCTGAATGTGCGTGGCTGATCTTTCATGTCTGCTCAGGCTTCTTTGCAGGTTTTTCAGGTCCCAGTATCCAGAGTTAGTCCAGACGTTATCAAAACAAAAAACAAGGAAAGGTGGTTTCATACAGGACAGCCACACAGCCAGTCCTTTCGTTTGTGTCACTCCATTTGAAAAGAACGACTCTTCTGCCCCATAGTTTAAAGCAGCCTTTTAACTCCGGCGTTGGTCTTCCATCACTTATGGTCTCCTGTTTGGACCGGAAGTCCCGTTTTGAGAATTGTTTTACTCTTGAAATAGTCGGATCAGGCAGAGCAAACAAACAAACAAACAAACAAAACACGCTGTTCTTGACCGACTGCCTCCAGCCTGGCGCTGATTGCCTGTTGAAGCCAGCTGGAGCGCACCTGTCAGCTCACGCACGACCCCTTGAGGTGAGGCAGAGTGTGCACTTTTATAATAGTGCACTTTTCTCTGCACTTTTCTCTGCACTTTCTTGTAGGATCAACAGGAACACATACATTAAAGACATTACACAGACTGTAAAGAGTCATAAATATAAGTCTTAAATATAAACAGAATAGTACTAAGGTTACATTGATGTTCAATGCTAGCTTTGAACCTAGAAAAACAGGAGACCTGCAAATTGTTTGGCTGCGGATTAGCTTAAAAAGCTAAAGATGGAAGAAAAATAATTATATGTTAATGAAATCTCCCAGCTGATTGATGACGTATCTGGAATGGCTTTGGTTTTTAAAAAGTGAAAATTCTCATTTTTCCTGCGGGCGCTCATTAGACATAGCATGCTAACAAAGTGAAAAGGCCATTGTGTAACATTTAATTAATTTATTTTTTCCACCAGTATTGTTCTCTGAGGGGCTCCATAAAATGGTAATGATGATTCTTAAAAGTCAATGTTAAGCAGCAATAAAAAGCAGCAATCATTTTCTCGCATGTGTTAGCCACTCACACAATGTCTGTTATTGAGGAGGTACGATTTTTGATCTACGTAGTTTAGTCATAAATATTCAACAATATTTATTATCTTGAAATCCTTCTTTTACACCAATAGAAAGATGATGACAGCGTTTGTTTAATTTTGTGTGAATTTATACGGAGTTAGTGTATCATTTTTTTATTAGCACACTGGTAATAAATGCTAGAATTCTGGCACGAAATCCCTTCCAAATAAACACATGAGGTAATGTTTGTCCACAGTGAATGCTGAATGTCTGAATATTTTAATAAAAGTTACTCATTCCTCGCTGCCTTTTATGTTCCCTTTGAGAGCCCCTGCATCTTGTAGGCGGATATCTGGCCAGAGAGCCATTAGATGCATTGTTTGTAAATATGAAGCTGGGCCTCAGTGGGGAGATAAAATGGTTCTGTTTCAGAGTGCTGTCCTCGGGGAATGTTAGTCACAATGCAGCAGAGTAGATTTATGGATGCCAATAGCACAGAGCTGGGGCATCATGAATTCAGAGACATTAATGTGGAAGGGCTGGACTGACAGCAGGAAAAAAGGAAAAATTAATAATAGGCCATGTGAGTAAGTAAGCCCCTGCGTGCTGCCTGGATTTCACCTTTTTACGGAAGGAGCCTTTTATGCTTTGGCAATTTAGTTACCATTAACAGGTGTCAGGTTTTCAGATGGTTAGGAGAAAATTAGGTTAGCATTTTTTTGTGTATAAATGTGTCCTTGTTCGGATGTGGTGTAATGCAAAATGGGGTTAGAGAAAGGATGTTGTGAAAGATCAGTGAGAAAGAGGGCGAGGACAACAGATGGAGGAGAGCTAACAGCCAGGGACAGAAAGAATGTCTCCATCAGGTCTAATGAAATGAAAAAGCAGCAGAGATGCATTGGATTACCAAATAAAAAGCACAGAGTAGCATATCTCTCAAAACCTATGCAAAAATACCCAGCTCCAATTATTTGCACTCTGGCAGCGCATTTGAATATACGACTTGTTATCCTCCAAAAATCTGGCGATGACTCGAACTCCATGTTTGAAAAACTTTACACCACAAATACACTGAAATAAGCAAAGGGGAATAGATTTGACATTATAATCAGCCCAGGATTCAGTGTTTTGATAGAAACTAACTTCACACGTTTTCGATGAAAGTTAAATTTGTTGATCTAGCATTGCTACAGATACTTCATAAAGCATTTATTGACCATACAGACAAATCTTTTGGTGAATCAGATACTGACAATAAGAATAAAGTAAAAAAAAAAAACCCTTCAGTTCTAACCTTACGTTGCAAAAGTACCAGGTTATAAATTAGCATTGCTAATTCCAATAATAAGTCTGCGATGCTAACTTATAACCCACTCGGTGTCATTTGTTACATCTCTATACTGTATATCCTAATAATGCTTGCTTTTAAAAATTATTATAGGAGAGTATAAAATACGAATGGTATTTTAAGACGTGTTCCAAACAAAAAAGTAATACAAGAAGAGTAGCAGAGGCTCAGAAGCTTTTTTTAATTATATTAATGACCTTAAGTCTAGATGACATTTTCATACATATATTTCATGAGTTCAATATGTTTTGTTACACTTTAGTAGTGTAAAAAAAATACATTTATAGACATTTATACAAGCTTGTTCGTGACAAGGCTGTGCCCACACATTTGAATTTGTATTCTATTTGTGTGTGTGTGTGTGTGTGTGTGTGTGTGTGTGTAGTCCTTCTCTAAAACCTTAAAGCTGGCTCTCCACATATTTGTAATCTTCTGCTGTTATTTCATTTTCTTTATATCCCTCTGAAGATTTGTCCCTGACTCCAGCTGTGGCCCCTGTTCAGAGCAGTATGTATCATCGCCTGCAGCTGCTGCAACTTGCCAAAATAGACGTAGTGTGGTGGTAGAGATGGAGAGTTGTAGTTGTGTTGGTGTTGCTAGTAGCTGCCCTATAACCTTAGCAGAAGTCTGTCCATCACATTGAAATCAGGTTTCAGAAAATTCTCATCAATGACAGGTTAGGACATACATTTCTTCCACTAAAAAATGCTGCTGCCTCTGCTACTGCTGTGGCTGCCGCTGCTGCCTCCCTGCTGTCCTCACGATATTGAGTATTACACTTGACTGCATTGTAGATGGAAATCTAACATCTGAGACTTCTCTTTGATTCCAGGCTACAACTGCTCTCTCTGCTCTCCCGGCTCTTTGCCAGGAAATTCCACTCATCTTTCTTTAGGTATACAGCTCTCTCTCGCACTCGTGCACAGCCTGTAACATCCCTGTGATCCCGTTCTTAAACTACCTAAACTTTTCAACTAACAATGAAAAAACATGGAGTCTTCTCCGTCAGTTCTGATGTCTGCTGACGGGGGTGTGGGGTTGGGGGGAGAGAAGCAGGAGGAGAATCCTGCTTTTCAGAGGAAGTAAAGAAGCCATGTCACTCCAAACCATTTACTCTACATCTACTTGTTATGAGATGAAATCTATCTGCGCTCAATTAAGTCTTTTGAATTGTCATCTTGAAACGGCGTTGCATGTTGCACTGTTCTCCAGCTACACGCGGCTCCTCTGTGCCTCAGCTAATCCTCTTTTCTTGTCTCCTTTCTTCTCTCCTCTCTGGCTGTCGGTGTTCTCTATTCTCCTTGATTTCCCTCCTACTCCTCCTTCTCTCCTTATCAGTTCCAGTCCTGTTGAATGTAAGCACTTATGTGAGTGACACCTTTGCTAATATCAGCTGGACGACCACAGATCCACAGCAGGACTCTCAGCTCTATGTGGCACACGTAAATAACCGTAAGCTACTTTCCCTTTCTCCGCTCGATTGGAAATTTCAGAGTTGAGTACATTGCTACTGGAGAAATTCCTAGTCTTGATGTTTGCATGGTTACACAATATGCTTAAAATAGGGTCTATTGAGAACCAACTTGAACAGAACAGTTTGTACACTTCCTTAAAGGGCATGAAAACACAAACTAAACAGTTTAAAAAAACAACAACAGTGGAATCTTAATGAGTTAGCAAAAATATATGAATACTTAATTTTACTTCCTTAAAGGGCATGAAAACACAAAATAATAATACTTAATTTCCAACAACAGTGGAATCTTAATGAGTTAGCAAAAATATATGAATACTTAATTTTGAGTTTGCTCCAAGATGAACTAATTTAGTAAATGATTCCTACAGGACAGTGTCAAATTTGCCTATTAAAATTACTTTTTCATCATTTGGGAATAATAAATAGCATAAATTACAGTTTTGCAAGTGAGATTTATGCCGTGTTCATGTGCTCATCAGTCAGCCGTCATTGTGGTCTGATTGTCCGTTTCACGATGCACAAGTTACTGTATTTCGAGCAAGACACAGCTCTGGACTGCAGTCAGGCCAGTCCAGTGTAAACAGGTCAAGTCTACCAAACCAGCTGCCAAATTGTCAAGAACAATTAGCATTTTGGACAAAAAAAAAAAAATCAAAATGATTCCCAGACAAACAGCTGTTTTAGACAGTTTCAGACAGGTGCACACACTTCTGGAACACTCCTGCCATCAATCTGCAAATTTCTGTGCAGAACCTTTTACCATGGCAACTGGTTAACCATGGTTGCGCCCCCTCTCTTCTCTCTAGTGACTCACTCAAATTGGTCTTTTTCATCTTTGGAATAGAGTCCAACACACACAAGCTAATAGTTGGAGTGCTCCGACCACAGATGCTCTCTCAGTCCATCTCCGACGACCTTAAAAAGTTGATGGCATTTATAAAACGAAATAATGTTTGGTTTGTCCTTGGTATGGTTACGCCCTAAAAGGAAACGGTTCTCGCTAATCCAATCTAATCCAAACTTTACTTCTCTGTCTCAAGTCTTTTTGGAGAGCATTAATGATTACAACTGTGTTGTGTTTACCAAATGCATTAGTGTTGTTGTGTAGTAAATAGAGGTTGTGGTCTTTTCTGTATTTTAAGGAAGTGTACCAATTTACTTGGGAATGAGCTGTGGACCATGGTCTAACTATCATCACTCAGTAGCATGAATCAATGAATTAATATACAACCTTGCTGCTTGTGCACCTCTTGTGCTTGGCTGTGTAGGTGATGGTAACTGGCGGATTTCAGAGGCTGTAAACACTTCTCAAAGTTTCCACATAATTGATGGGCTCATACCCGGGACGATGTACACTGTGCGCCTCACGGCCAAGAGTCCGCTTGATAACACTAGCATTTACGAGGACGTTATCCAGACTCGATTTAAAGGTGAGAGCAGAGAGGTGTCACAGTCGATGCAGTTTAGTGTCTGTCTCTAACATCCCTGAACTTTCCGTGTCAATGACAAATTGATATTGAGAAAGGTGAACGTGAGTTTATTTCCCCGCAGTCTTTTGAATCCCTGTCCACTTGTAGTTTACTTGTAGAGTGTCAAAGCTGAAGGTAATGTGAGGGACATGTGATGGGAATACACAGGCGTCCTGATTTGAACTTTGACCCCTGTGCCTCTGACGTTTCTGTCCTCAGGCGTGGAAGGTCAACAGAGGGACCCCTCGATCCATGGATGGGTTATCGGGACCATGTGTGCTGTGGCTATTCTCACCCTGGTCGCACTCATGGCCTGCTTTGTGCGGAGAAACCGAGGTGGGAAATATTCAGGTACGGCACCGTCAGGACAGAGACAAGAACAGGGTCACATGGGAACAGGTCAGTTGGTCTTTCATGGGGGGTGGACCACCTTTGACGCTTTACTTTGGAAGGAGGAACAAAATATATCCCAGGATATAATATGTTTTTAATATATCTACTTTATTGTCACTATCTTTGAAATTAAATCACATTAAAAAAATTCTCCAAAAAACTTTAAAATAACTTTTTGTATCGAAATTAAATCACATTAAAAAAATTCTCAAAAAAACAGTAAAATTTAAAATAACTTTTTGTATTTTTTTTCAAACACATGGATTGTCTGTAATAAAAATCCTCTGTAAATAAGAATAGTATTAAACAAAAAGTAAAATAAAATATATAGCACTTCAGTCAATTTAGAAACCACACAATGTTGGTTGCCTCCACACAACACTGCAGGAGAAATTATGCCGTTTCAAAGACAGGGGGCGCTGATTATATGTTATTGCCCTTGAGCTGCACCTCAAATTGAACCATGTTTACTGGACCTCCATGTTTTGGTTATACCTGTTAGGTTCCATTAGCAAATTGGTTAAGGAACCATAGAACATGAAACATTGATGCATGTCATGGGTCCATGACAGCTCATCACCTGATTGGATGAACCCAGCCCTTTGTTGACACTGGATGACAATATTTTTTAATTCAGTAGGGGTTTTTAAAAAATCAATTTAATAACATACAAGAGACAATCTGAGTGAATCACAACAATGATCATTTCTTTCTGACTTCCTGAGTAAAGCGCCACTGGCCCCAGCCCTGATACTGACTCGGTGTGAAAATGCATGTGCACTCCATCAAGCCTGTGTCTTTGGAATGTAATGAACACCCTATTGTCTCTCACCTGTGCAGACTTTCTCTGCAGAAAAGACTCAAATTCACTGATACTCACAAAGAATTTTATTCCTCGGCTTTTTTTCCCCACTAACCTAAATTTACCATGTTCTTCCCACATCCACATTCTTTTGCCTGCAGAAGCTTTTGACATGAAGCTCTGAATATTTCATCATCCCTCCTTGGATCTCGTCTCCACACACACGCAGCTCAGTTCATAGAAATCTTTGACTCTTGCTCTTTCCTAAGAGCAACCAGTGTTTTTAAAGCATATTTACACACAGCTGATATGTTGAGGCAGACACAATCCGCCCTGCTCAAATGATACACTTACACCGTCCAGCTGGTTGTATCTTTTTACAACGTGACACTGGTGACAGTCACGACTGGAGCCATTATGTCAGCAGAACTCCCATCTGCCTGTGCTCCTCTCCTGAGTGTAATACCACTGACACCCCTGGAGGGACTTTCTTTACATCTATTACCAACATTCTTGAGAGTGACGTCATTGTATTTCACAGGTCGAACCACAAAGTCACTGTGACCCCATTTTAGAGAATATATCAGCGAGGCCTGGACGGGAGTTGATTATATATGGGATCAAACTTGACTGAACTCAGCAGCAGTCCCAGTGGTCACAGGAAGCATGTGACACACAGATTCACATTCTATCTATTTTAGGGCCGTAAGAATAAACACATTTAATGTGTTGATTAATTAGTGAAATTAACTAGATAAAAATGTGATGTGTTGATGTTCATAAATCACGTCGAGACACACACAGTATACACAAGGCAAAAGAAAAATACCATCTCAACACTCTGCATGTGTTTATGGAGGATTCATATTCAGGTGAGACATCCGACTTACGTCAGACCAGCTTCAGCGAGCGTAGAGCAATAATCAAGTCTACGGCTGACAGGTTGACTGACACTGTTGTCAAACAGATTACGAGAGAGACTGTAGACTGATTAATGCTGTTGAGGAAAGGAGCTTAAATAAAGTTTCACCACGAGTTTTGAAAGCAGCTCTTGATGTGTTCTACAATCCACTGTGAAGATGAACAGTCATGACTAAAACACCAGCAACTCTATCAGAGTAAAAAATATTATAAATTGATCAGTTGAGTTGGTCACAAATAAAAAAAAAAAAACACATTTACATGTTGATATTTGTCTTTCTGTTCCAGCAAGACAAGAATAAACATGGCACTGTCTTATTCAGAAATGATGATTCGTCTAGATTAATCACGATTAATTGTTAATAATTGCAATACAATTTATCACAATTAACTGTGATTAATTGTTTGACAGCCCTAGTTGATTAATAAAAATGTATACAATGTGACTAGTGTGAGGCACCAAATGGATTCAACCAATGAAAACACAGCACGACTCAAAATGAACATCAGTGTTAATTATTGAATTATTTTATCTTTACTTCATCGCAGGATATCTAACACAGGTCATCTTTACAGTAAGCCTAGCTGAAGTTGAAGCATTACAGATCGTTTGACATCCCAGCACCAGCTGTACTCAGCTGTACTCAGCTGTACTCAGCTGTACTACACCTACGGATAAAAGTACTGCCTGCTTTCTACACTCCTGCTAAAATGTCTGCCTTGCCGCCCCCTGCAGTGAAAGAGAAGGAGGACCTGCACCCTGACATGGAGTCACAGGGAATGAATGATGACACCTTCTGTGAATACAGGTGAGCTCTATTTCTACTTCTGCCGCGGAGAAAAGCCGCGGTGCCAATGTGTGCTGGGTGAAATTACATTTTTTTTATCTCCTAGAAATAGATTGCGGTGTGGCAATATTAATTTAACACCCAAATGTGGAACATTTCTGTCTCAGGCCCTCGTTTTTCATGTGTCACCAGTAATGTCTTTCTCTCCCCTTTTCAAAAAGCAAAGCCTGCGTTCACGAGCAGGATCACACGGAGAGCCAGTGTTCCCAGCGGTTAATGGGATAGGTAATCACACCCAGTAGTTAGGAGCAGTAGATGAAGCTCAACGTTCTCTGTCTTTGTATTGGAATCCGTGGTCTGTGTGTGTTACCTGTTTGATTCCTATTATGTGCATGAGTGCACGGGGGGGGTAAGTAAGTGTTGCTCTAGTTGTGTTAGACTGCTTGTTCCTTACCATTGGTTTGTGTTTGATGGAGTGTTGTTTCTTCAGGTGAACTAAAACGTCTGCGATTCTGGGGATTCAACCCACAGCTGTGATGGTGTAAAGTGTTCAATGTTTTCCTAGATTGTAAACCTAGTACACTGAAGGTGCTTTTTATCATTCAATATTTACAACAAAAAAGATGTATTTATATGACAACAAGGCTGTGACTTAGATGCTAGTTGTTTTTGTTTTAAAATTAGGAATGTCCAAAAATGTCATGATAAGCGTACCGATGTAATATTTGTTCAGTTCACCTTACTTGACTGACTGGAATACAACATACATACATGTACCCTATTTTAGGGACTGGAGTTGCTCTAAAGTATAAGTTGCACCTGCCAAAAAATGCATAACAAAGATGAAAAAACCATATAAGTCGCACTAGCCAGCTAGAGTGCCCCCAGTGGCTGTCAGTGTTAAAATAATGAACATGTAAATTTTCAGTGCTACAGGAGTAGCAGATACTGGTACACAAGCCTAGAGTGCCCTCTAGCGGCTGTCAGTGTGAAAATAACAAACATGTGAATTTATATATTTTAATATATAAGTTGCAAACCCAGTGCGACTTATAGTCCAGAAAATACGTTTTTTTTTTTTATGTAATGGAAATCTTTGTTAAATATGTTGAACATTTGACAGACAATAACCAAAGCAATGATCATACCAGACTGATTGGTCTGGACACAGTCTGTATAAATACCTGGTAACAACAGCTGTAGCGCTTCCGTCTGCTAACACCGTAACCAGGCACCCGTTTATCTTCAACAGCTCTCGTCGCAGACGTACAAATTGATTTAATGCTGCTGTAAAAGAACACACACTCACCGTCTGTAACATCTCTAACGCAGACGCCCGGTGTAAATGAACAGACTCACGAAGAGACGAAGGCAGGAAATTTATAGTGGCAGTTAATTGCTATTCAATGCAATGTTTAGCTGCTCCAGGTACAGATGAGTGAAATTGATGGAATACATGCGGATAGCGTGTGACACAGGTGTGTATGTTTGGGTGCGCTGCCTGGATCGTCTCTTCTGTCTGCTCTGATTGTCGATATATTATTCAGAACAGGTTTAGTCCCAATTGGAGCTAATTGCGCTGCTCCGTTTCTCGTCGGTGTTATAATTCTATTAATAATGAAAAATGATTTGTGTGTCTACGGCGCCATTGATAGATTACACAGCTTAAAAATGTAATAAGTTGGTTTTGTACTTCACCCAGAGCCGTACATGAACGAACGACTGGATGGAAGGATGAGGCTGTGTCTGACTGTGGACACTACAGTGTCACGGCTGCCCTCTGTGGAAGGGTTTGTTTTATTCTGGAGCTCCTCAGGCAGGAGTCATATTAGTATGAGTTGGTGAGAGAGGGCTTCAGCTGCGCTAATGTTTATACACCCCCCCACCCCACCCCTCACCCCCCGCAACTGGCCAAAGTCCACACCCCCGGTCTCCCAGAGGAGCCTTGGCTTTACTATGATGTCTCCCCGGTGCTAACGTTGTTGATTTCTGTTTGGTGCCCTTTGAGTGGCCGAAGGTAATGGATCACCCACTGGTTTGCCTCATGTCTGTGGAGCTGACAGTTTGTAATTACGGTTCAGATGATTTCTCTTCAGAGACAGATCTCCGCTGCTTTGTCCCTCTGTCCACTGCAGGACAGGCAGGTGTCACACGGTTCGGCCATCAGTGTGATGCAGACATTTTCTCAACCAGCTTCTTATTGTTTACTCTTTTATTAAACCTAAAGCTCTCCCCCCTCCCTGTCCCCGAGCTTAAACTTAAATAAAACCAACTCTAGCTCCAAAGCGTTACGTGACCAACTCCACCTTGTTCCTAAAGTGTCTCTCGCTGCCTCCAAACTGAGTCAGCATGGGTCAGTGGCAAGACAAATTTAATTACCTTCTGTCCCTTCTGTGATGTGCCTCCATTTCTCACTCCACCTGATTGCGAGACTGGGTGAAAGCCGTTTTTTTTACGACAACACCTGAGACTGAGCTGGATCCCGACCAGGGACTGAAATGAGCTGCAGCTCAGACGCTCTCAGTCCCAATTTTATCACTGTATTCAAAGTCACTGTGGGCGGGCTGCCGTGGCGGTGGCTTTCAGCTGCTCTTAGATAACAGCCACTTATCTTCAGCACTCTAGAGTCGTCAGAGAAAAAGGGTTTGATAAGAGCTGAAATGCGGACCTTATGTGGCTTGCATGGTAAAATGGCACAGGTTAGATGAGATTGGTTTGTTTAAAAAAAAGTCCCTGTGAAGGAGACCCTGATTTGTAACCTCAGCTTTCAACACGTTTTCTGCACCAAAATCTGCTGGAAATGTCAAGCTTGTGGTTGACACAGGTGTCAACAACGGCGGTCCTCCGACTGCACCGGCGGACGCACTGGCCACCTGAAAATCTGTGAGGTGAATTCTAAACTGACATAATGTGTTTGCCACCACGGATGGTTGGGGGAATTAGAAAAAGAGGACAGGGAGGAAAAATATCCTCAGTGTTTTGAGGTGACCCCGTGTCTTGTAGTGAGACACCTGCAAGTTGGCCAGCTGCCCAGACGTAAATTGGCATCTAATCTCCTCAGCCTCCATGTGGGCCCTTCGGGAACACCGGGAATGACAGGCTGTTTGTCTGGGATTGCATATGCCCCACCTCTACTCCCCTTTTTTAGCGTCTCCTTTTCTCAATCTAAGCCTTCAATCCCCACCTCTTCTTCTCTGCCTGCACACACACACACACACACACACACGTTCACACACCCATCTCTTTCACTCTGCACTCTGGCAATTTCCATCCATGGCTCTAAAGAGATTTGAAATTGCCTTTGGTCTTGAAGCCTTGGCAATTAGCAATTACTAAAGTGATTGTAGTGAGCCAGGCCCGCCTCTCCCCTGTGCTCCCTTTCCTGCAAGTTCCCCCATAAGAACTTGCTTTTGCACCGAGAGCCCGTGTGTCTGTCTGTGCAGCCAAGCATTCGCTGCACAAGTGATGTTTCAGTTAGTCTGTGTTGCCTGTGTTTCTTTGCAAATTTTCGTGTTTGCGTGTGCTTGGTTTTATAGCCGTCTGGAGCCACGTGTGTGGCCTCAAACAGCTGCTTTATGTTGTGTACGGCGTGTCTGTGTATCCTCTGCACCACTGACCCCGGTTATTGTTTTCTGTTGTTGTTGATGGCAGTGACAGCGAGGAGAAACCACTGAAGGGCGGCAGCTTGTGTTCCATGAACGGCAATGACACGGCCGGGGACAGCGTCAGCAGAGACAGCCTGGTGGACTACGCCGACGGTGGACGGGAGTTCGACGAGGACGGTTCGTTTATTGGGGAATATTCTGGACACAGGCATGCAGGGTCCGTCAGCGAGCCCAGTGGGTTCACACCGGTCAATGCCTAAAGAGAGGCTGCAGTCTGCTACCAATCCTCTGGAGACACATTTCAGCTCAGCTTCCTTGACAATGGATGTATTGTAAAGAGACAATTTGGAGACAATGACTCAAAAGTGCAGAGAAAAGTTTTGTCCAGAAGCCTGGACAGTTAAAGTCATTTTAAACACGGCTGAACCATTTGAAACTGTACATACTGTAAGAGTTTGGACTGTATAATTTGAATGTTTTATGATTTATTAATAAATGAAGTTTTGTACTTAGACATTTCCAGTGAAATCAATGGTTTTGCAACACCTAAAAAAATCATTTTCTACGTTGAAAATTATAATAATTTAAATGAACGTGTAAAACCACAAAGGTTTGATTTTCTCACAGTTGCTTGTTGCTGTTGACATTTCCCTTCTTGTTGTCATTGCTTCAGCTCCTTGATTTATGTCTTCAGTTATTTATTTTTATTATTGGACTGAAGGCTAATATAAAACCACGAGGATTCAGCATGGCTGTGTCCAGTGAAAGTCCTGCTTCTGAGGTCAAGGAAAAGTGCTCGACCAGGGAAGACTCACGGTAAAAAAATTACTACAATTATTTTTTGGTATAAAAATTATTCTAATCATAAAATTAAAACAAAAACAGGTCACAGTTGAGAAATAATTACTATTTTGTTTTTGAGTTTTGTCAACACCAAATTTTTTTCTTCCTAATTAGAATGTCAACCTAAAAAGGTTGGATTAACAAATTGTCAATTTGTGTAAAAAACAAATAATAAGTGGAGGAAAAATGTTTGTTTAGCCTTTAACTTCTTCAAAACAATCGTAGGACAACTAGTTTAAGGTATGCACAAAGTAGCAGCTGAAATTAGAGGAATAAAAGAAAATACTGAGGGAATAACATGAAAACATGTCGCACTAATGGCTCCATTTTCTCCAAAAACAACACATCTGCAATTTTTGAAACTATTTTGCTCATTATCTCTGCAGTGCATGGTGTGAATCCCTGCATGCATAATACATGTTGCTAAAATATTCATCAAGGATATGACTCAAAATAAAGTCAGGATTTGACCTGTTCCACAGATTCTACCACGTGCAGAGGTTCTGGCGATGGCTACACGAGTGTGAGGCAGACATTTAAATGTTCAGAATAGTTAAAGCCTTTAGAATGTATTCATTATGAACTTTAAGAATAATAATAATAATAGAAGGCAGAACACACAATGTGTTTTTAAAGTTTTTAATAAGGCTTTCAAACTATGAAAATTAGTTATCAAATTATATAGACCTAATATATGGTTTAATCACGATTTATCTTGATCTTTAATTAACCATGATTAATGAGTGCCCTCTAGTGGATATCAGTGTGAAATATAATTTAATTTAATATATAAGTCGCACATGCCAAGGGATGAAAAAATTGCAACTGATAGTCCAGAAAATACGGTAATTACCATTAATCAACACTCACTAACCTCCCCCAAAAATATTTTTCGATTTTTTGTTTAAAGCAACTAACCTGCTACTGAAATGAAATAAAATCCAATTGATTTGAATTTTATTGTTGGACATCAGAGTTGATCAAATAAAAAGTTGCAGAACAAAATAACTCTGCTTTTTATTCTTCCCTTTGTTGTTGCAGCATCACATCTGTCACTCGCACAGCTTCCTGTCTGTGGCCTGGTGATTACACAGAACTATTTTGGGAGGAATCAAAACAGACTTAAAATAGTGAAGTTGAAGAGCAGCCCTGTGCACTCACTGCCTCATGGCAAAATAAAGGTCATTTAAAGAGATAATCCCTGTATTGTCAGGGATTATCCCTCCGTCCTTTTAGAAATTGCTTTCTCTGTGAAACCTTCAAGCCCCCTAAACAATAACAGAAGATTACCCTGGTTTTAGTCCTCCCATGTTTTACAAGCAGCCCTGTCTGTTGGTGAGGACGTGCAGGAGACCCTATCATTAGTGACAGATGCCCGTCTGGAAAGACATCCAGGTCTGTGAGCCTTCCATTTTAACTATACGGCTGGAGCTGCGTGGTGTTGATTGCGGCTCAGTGTTGTGCTCACATTATCGCCGGCAGACGCTGGACAATCACGCACACGCTCAAACATCCCAGCTTAAAGCACATCACTCCCGTTCAGCCAAGTTGATGGGGGCTGAAATTTAGACTAAGTGGCCTGGAAATTACCTGGTGGGAGGAAATCAATAACGAGCTCACGCTTGCTGCAGCTGCAGCTCAGCGTCTGTGGGCTCGGTATTCTATCAACTTCAAACTAACCAAGGACACCGCAAGAACAGCGGAACATATGAAAAAAAAGAGAGTAGCACATAGGAAAATGTGCCGTTTGCAGATGTTAGAAATAATGAGTTGGCTCGGCTGCTGAAAGAGGGAAGCACGGTGGCCATGAAGATCTCATTAATAATGAATAGCAGCGGGGTCAGTGTGAAGGGAGCTCTGAGAGGTGTTTGCTCTCAAAAGATGCTCTTAAGGAACACTTTTTTTCCCTTCGGTGGCTTTTGAAGGAGTGGAGTAAAAGTACCTGCAGCAGCAGCAGCAGCAGCAGCAGCGTCAGTGTCAGGATTTAAAGCAACATCACAACTCTTTTAAGAGACAGCACAGTTCCTTTGGTCTGTGGGGAGGAGGACGCCTTAATACTTTCAAGAACAATCTGTTGGTCCTTTACCATGAAACAGCTGAAGTGTGGAGGAGGGAAGAGAAAGTTGCTTTTGAGGAAAACAGTTCCAGAAGGACGACTCGTGCCTGTTCAGAATGAACTTGGTTTCAGAGTGAGTTTGGGAATAACGCACAGGTGCTTGGGAATGAGGAGTGGGCATGAACAAAAAGTTGTTTGAAAAGTTTGAAAAAAAACAAACAAACAAAAACATTGCATTAATTCCCGTGGTATTTAGGGTCACGGAATCAGGGTCACTTCCCATATACGCGGGGTCCTCAGTTTACGATGTCCTCGACCTGCGGTGTTTCGTGGTAACATCTCCATCGCCCATGAATTTATGAAGAACGTCTTGTTCCATTATTTTATTGTACAGCTTTAAAACTGCAGTTGTATTTGCAGTTATATTGGTCGGTTGTACTCCACAATATTGGATTGTGCTACTTTTGCTTTCTTTCTTTTGTGTCGTTCTCTGCTCTCCATCATGGCTCCCAGGGTTACGTCAGACTCTTCTCTTATGATGTCACCTCGAAAATCTGGTTACGTCGCAATGTATGAACGAAGTGCCGATGAAAGTGGAGGACCCTGTGTATGTCTCTAGAAAAGAACCAACTGTTGAAAATGAATAAATCACTACGTCCATTTTTAAAACTGCATTAGCGCAGCAGTGTAGCATGAAGCAGATGAACCACAGAGGATGACATTGAAAGATAATGGTCAGAGTATTAGAGAGTTTACGGTTGTTGTTGTTGTTGTTGTTGTTGTTGGAAGGTTGTACATCTGCTGTATACTGAACCAAGTCGTGTCTGGACATTGGGTTATTACAGTAATGACAGACAAAAGACAGGTAAATATATTAAGTAACAGCCGTCTCAGTTACTTTCCATCGGAGGATTATGTTTGTGACACAAACCTCTTTCTCTACCCCGTCCCTTTCATTCCTTTGTCATCTCTACATGAGGCTGTACATTTCTGCTGCCATAATTTAATTTGTCTCACTAGAATGCAAATGGAATGAGGCGGTTGTGCATACAGAGGGCTATTATTTCCCCGCTAAACTGCTTTAGATGCAAGCCCAGACTCTCAAAAGCCAGCCAGCAATTGAGTGGATGCTGCGTGCATGTACATATGTCTGGTTTTTGACTATGTGTGTGTGTGTGTGTGTGAGCTGTAAGAGGCGAGACAGAAGCGGCCGCCACGCTCAGCCATGGCAGGAACTAATGAGACATGCTTTGATAATATGATTACAAAGAGCCAGGCTGTGTCAGAGAATGAGAGGTGGAGTGGGAGCGAGGACATCTGCTCAGATGAGAAAGTGGACACTGTGATGTCTGCATCACATTACTCTGAAGGTGAGCAGCAATGATACGGGAGGTGGAGTCCAGGCTCCGACTCACTGTCATCCACTTAATAACAACCCAGGCATGGTCTGGAGGAAGTTTTTAATAAATGCCAATTAAACAGGGATTTTAGGGTCATCTCATCCCAAGTTTGATATGAATAAAAAAAGAAGAAGAAGGATTTCATCTCGACTCCTGCTGGAGGATTAGATAATAGACATGTAAAGTGTTGTGTGGGAAGTGAATAATTCTCACCTTCCTTTCTTAGCCCCGGGCTGTCAAAGCAACAACTTGGCAAAAACAACGATTTATACACAAAATGTAAATCAGCTCAAAATCTCTGTGACAGAGCCATGTGGAAAAGAGCATCTGAACGAGTGCAGGTAAAAACACACACACACACACACACGCACACACCGACGAACACACCCACAGGTTTTTGTTGACATCTGAACACTAGGCCTGTTCATCCACAGTGACAGATGTAGAGATATTTTTAGTTCATTTGAACACTTTTTAATAATGACTCCATTGGTCTGTTAGCAAACGTTAGCATTAGAAAGAGCAGTCGTCTGTTTGTCTTCTTCGATTTTGGAGAAACTGAGGGAACAGTGGGAGGACGTGGAGAGAACATGGAGAGTGTTTCCTGCACATGTTGAACTAAATTCAGTTTATTATTATTATCATTATTATATGTACTGCGTATCATGGAAAAGTTTTATTTTACCCACCCCAGCCTCCCAAAGTAATTCTTTTTATATGATTTTGTTCCTTTGATGTGTTTCCTGTGGAACACCGCTCCTGCATTATTCATCATGTCCTCATTAGAACACCTCCATTTACATACCACACAGAAGCCGCGTAGGATGCATTATCTCTGTTGAACCTGACGTACATGTCAAGTGTTTTTACATAGCATCAAATGTACATTTTTTTTTTTTTAACAAACAGATATTTGTGTCACCGATACAGGCTATCAGACCAATACTTCTTCAAGTTGGGATTAAATAAATATCCAATTAAAACGAAGGGCAGTGACATACAGAGGAACCACAGGTCCGAGTGTGTCCAAACAATGGCTCAGGTCCAAACAACGTTGAGGACACCAAGGAGAATGGTTACCGTCCACATTCAATCTCTTTTTATCAACAGAACATAGTTTTTCTCAATGTCAGCGGTAAATTGTTCCGTTTGTTTTTCTTGGCCAAGTTTTTTATGTTTGGTTTCTAGTTGTAAAATGTTTCGATGTGCAAAAGTGCAGATAAATTGAAATTAACACAATCGGGAACTTTTCTTTTTAGTAATCTGACTTACTTTATAAAACTCAAAAGTCCTAATCTGACAGTGGTGTGACTCATTGGAGTGACTCCTTTGGTGTGCACTCCTTTGTTCTGCTGGGACCATTCTTCACTTTTTCTCTCTCTACACTCCTCCGTGGGTAAATGTGAGGTAAGCCAGTTGTCACAGTCTCTCACTGTGAAACGTTCTGTGGTTCTGGCAGGTCCTGGTCCAAGGCCGGAACAAATGTCTTTGGTT